GGAATTGTAAATCATCCGCAAACGACATTAAGAAACAAAATCGAAATTTTGTGAGCGTCAAATAGTGATAATTTGGAGATAATAGCTTTACAGACCCTTCTGTTCCAAATTCCATTCGCTTTTACACCATTAATCATAAGAAAACGAGTATCGGTGGCTCCAGGTGCTGGAAATTATGATAGTGTGTAAAAATGTTGTCGCACTTGTCTGGTTCGGCTGTCTCGGCTGAGCAGTATAAAAGCTTCTTACAAGAGATAATCAGCACTTTAATCGCAGCAATGCGCACCACTTTTGCGCTTTTCCTGGTGTTGCCTGCTGTCTTATCAAGCAAGGTAAGGAATGTATGGCTTTTTAAGCTGCTAGATGCCGCATTATGTCTTTCTTAATCTGAGTTGATTTAAGCATAACAGCAGAAAAAACAAGAACATAACCTAAAGCAAGACTTTCACTTTTGGTGCCTACATCAAGTTTTTCAATAGTATGAGGGCATTAATGGGTTAAGTACCTAGCTTTTTCAATGCATCATAAATGCGCTGAGAGAAGGAAACGGTGTTTGACCATGTTTTTTCTTTCCACGGTGAAAAAAATCAGCGGAAGAGAGAAGTGGGAATGAGACAGAGAAAAAACGGTCAACCAAGTTCTCAAAATTTCTTGTTTGCTTCTCCGCGGAATGCCTTCAAAGTCTCAAAGTTTTGTTTTCATCATTAAAATTCATGAATTTGTTATTCGGAAAATAACAGAAGGCCTGATTGTTTTAATTTTCAGATCTCAACTGCTCGCCCCAAACGACAATGCCCATGCGCCGAAGTACTGCCAGTGCCACCACCATGCAAATGTCTAGCTGGAATTACTGCGCAATGCACATGCATGAGGCCAACATTCCAGCCCGTCTGCCCGTGCGCTGTGCAGTTGCAGCTCTCGCAATGTCGAGCAGCTTGTCTACGCACGTGCACTTCTACCTGTGCTCGTAGCGTCTTTGCCGCCACTTGTCCAGCTTCTTGCGGATATTCGTGCTCGCACTCATGCATGCATCAACAAGTCGTTCCTATTCACGTGGTAATGCCCAAACTCGTCCCTGTAGAGCGGTGTCTTCCGGTATGTCAACAGTCGTGTACGAGATCTTGTACGACTGTGTTCACAGTCGAGACGTGCACTCTACTGTGCCCGCAACCGTGCGAACGGAGGTGTATCAAGATGTTCCCCATTTTGAAACACAAAGTGACCAAAATCAGGACAATCACGGAAAAGCGCGTTTTGACAGTTAAAAATTGCTTGGCTGCATGTAGGCCAAGATGCGAGCCTCAGTGTATCTATGCACGACCTTACCCAATGGCAACTCTAATCGAAGAAAGCAGGCCAATTATTGATAACAGATTGCTCCCATATCCAGGTCCAGTTCCTCCATTCCAAAAGCCCTTGCAAAAACCAAAACACGATGCATCCTCTGAAGAGATGTTGGACGCTGATCAATCGAAAGCTGAAGAACTTAATCCCAATCTTGCTGCTCAAAAATATATCCAAGAGCAAAGTTCTCGTGATATGCATTCCCCAATAAAGGAAAACCCGGACCAACAGCAAATGCCATTCAAACCCTCATTTAGCCCACCTTTGCCAATAACAGAACCCGTATTTCCAGAATTGCTGCACAACAATCCTTCAGTTTCCCAACGAGCCAATCATCCAAGGCTTTATAGTTTCGATCAAGAAGAATCTATCGGTTCGTATCGAGACGGCTTGGGAGGCTACGAATATCCTTCTCGAATAGAATTTCCGAAAGATGCTCGAAGTGGCTGGCAATCTGCTATCCCAGAGGACATGGCAGCGATGCCTGAACAATCTGGAAAACAGTCTTCAGGGCTTGATGGAGCGGAAGAAACTTTTCCTC